TATCACATAATTTTAGAACTCTATGATAGGGGCAATATAATACTTACGGACCACGAACTTACTATACTTTATATACTTAGACCCCATTATGAGGGTGAAGAAGTACGATTTGCGGTTCGAGAAAAGTACCCAACAAATCGTGCTAAAGAAGCTAGTAATCTACCAACTGAAGAGGAATTGCGTGAAGCGTTAAATCAAACACCTTATGGAGAAAATTTGCGCAGAGTACTTATGCCTTTAGTTGATTGTGGACCTGCAGTTATTGATCATATATTAGTGAAACACAAATTGGATAACTGTGTTGTTAACTTTAATAAAAATGAGGATGGAGATGGAGCTACTGAACAATTAGAGGGCAGTAAAAAAGGACGTAAACAAAAAAAGAAAGAAATGTCTAAAGTTGCAACAAGGCCTTTCGAAATGGACACTGATATTCCCACATTGATGGAAGCACTAAAAGTAGGTCTCATATGGTTTTTATTTAAGACTAATATTAATAAGTAATTTTATTAGGATATGTATAAACTGTTAAGTGACGGTCGCACTGAGCCATCGAAGGGTTATATAATACAAAAAGCAGAAGAAAAACCTTCAAGCGACGCAGCTAATGTTGAACATTTCTATCAAAATATTGAATACCATCCATATTTGTTTGCCCAGTATGAAGGACAACCGATGGCTTCATTTAATACGTTTATGTTAGCTGTAGATGAATTCTATTCTAAAATGGAAGGTCAAAAAATTGACTTGAAGACTTTGCAACAAGAGCGTGAAGCCTTAAAGAAATTGTCTAATGTTAAAAAGGATCACGCCAAACGTTTAGAGGAGTTAACGAAAGTACAAGAAGTAGATAAACAAAAAGCGGAACTTATTACAAATAATCAAAGCTTAGTTGATAACGCTATTTTGGCTATTAGGTCATCACTCGCAAGGCAAATGTCGTGGCAGGATATACATGAATTAGTTAAAGCAGCGCAAGCAAACGGTGATCCAGTTGCGTCAGCAATTAAACAGCTCAAATTAGAAGTGAATCATATTTCTTTAACTCTATCTGATCCCTACCAAACTGCTGAAAATGACTCTGACTCCGAAAGCGAGGCTGTTGGTTCAACACAATCTCTAGTTGTAGATGTTGATTTAGCTTTGTCTGCATGGGCAAACGCGCGTAAGTATTATGATCAAAAACGTAATGCGGCGCAAAAAGAACAGAAGACTATCGATGCCTCAGAAAAAGCCTTGAAAAATGCGGAAAGAAAAACACAACAAACTCTAAAAGATGTGCGTACTATATCAACTATTTCTAAAGTACGCAAGGTTTACTGGTTTGAGAAATTCTATTGGTTTATAAGTTCGGAAAATTATTTAGTTATAGGTGGTAGGGATGCTCAACAAAATGAGCTTATTGTAAAAAGGTATATATATCTATAAAATGAAGTAAAACTAGTTTTTTATGTATCGTTAAACTCAAAATATTTCATTTTAACAGATATATGCGTTCATCAGATATATATGTGCATGCTGAAATTCAAGGAGCCTCAAGTGTAGTCATTCGAAACAATAGCAGTACAACTACGGTGCCACCAAAAACGTTGTTGGAAGCTGGAACTATGGCTATTTGTTATAGTGTTGCTTGGGATGCAAAAGTTGTAACGAATGCCTATTGGGTGCATAGTGACCAAGTTAGTAAGACAGCACCGACGGGCGAATATTTAGGCACTGGTAGTTTTATGATACGTGGAAAGAAAAATTTCCTTCCGTCCTGCCATTTAATAATGGGTTTAAGTTTATTGTTCAAACTGGAAGATAGTTTTATAGAGAAACATCGTGGAGATCGCAAAGTACGTAGTTTTGAAGATGAAAATCAAATAGATATGGAAGAGCACTTAAAACAGCTAGCTATTGAAAACGAGGAAGAGAATAGAAATGCATCTAACATCGAAATAGAACTAGAAAATGATGAGAATGCACAGGTCAAAGAAGAAACTTCAGATTCTGAATCTGAAGTTAACTTTCCTGATACAGAAGTTAAGATAGAGCATGACACAGGCAAGATTACAGTTCGATCTGAATCGATAACAGAGTCCAATAATGATGCAGAATTGAAAATTGTTACCGATAATCTTCTATCAGCCATTGAAGAAGCAACAATAATACCAGCTGCACCTTCACGTAGAAAGTTGCAACAAAACTCAAAGAAACGAAAAGAAGAGAAAGCACGTAAAACACAAAATGAACTTCAGTTACAGCAACAAAACTCTGTTGAAAATCAATCAAAGAATCCTTCACATATGAAACGTGGACAAAAGGGAAAACTAAAGAAAATTAAAGCTAAATACAAGGATCAAGATGATGAAGAACGTGAATTACGTATGCAAATTTTGAAGTCATCTGGTAAAGAAAAAGTGGCTGCTCTTGAACAAAAATTGGTACAAAATGTTGTTACACTTAAACCAAAACAACCACACTACAATGTGGAACAAAAGGTGGCTGTAGATATTGATGAAAGTGAGGAGGTTTCTGGAGGTGTGGATACTGAGATACTTGACTCACTAACAGGAGTCCCAGCTGATGAAGATGAATTATTATTTGCTGTACCAGTAGTTGCCCCGTATCAAGCTTTACAAAATTATAAGTAAAATCTTACATACGAAATATTGAAACATTTTTAATTGAATTCTTTTATATTTCAGATATAAAGTGAAACTTACTCCTGGCACTGGCAAACGTGGACGAGCTGCAAAGACATCACTTACCATGTTTTCAAAAGAAAAAAGTTGTACAATTAGAGAAAAAGATCTACTGAAGAGTATCAGAGAAGAAGCTTTGGCAAGAAATATACCCGGCAAGGTGAAACTGTCAGCTCCGCAGCTTCAAAAATTTAAAAAGTAAATATTCGTTATGTTTTTAAAATAATAAATAAATTGTATATAAAATTGTAAAGTGAGGTCACATTTTAAAATGACATAGTTAAACAATAATTAAATATTTAAAAAAAAATAAATGATTATTTATATTACTTATGGCGATTGCACGAATTCTTATGATATTCTTATGATCTTTATTTGCACGTAAATAATTGTTAGTAAAAACATTTAAACATGAAAATATTAAATTAAGATAAAGGCTTTAAATCGGATTTTATTTGATTAGATTTGATTAGTTATCAAATACATATTACACATATGCGATAGGAAAATTATTAAGCCATAATTTTGTGTTTCTGTGTTCATCACAAAAAATCAAATTTATATCTAAAAATAAGAGTTTTTTAATGGGATCAATTTTTTAGTTGCATTTTATAATATAAGCAAATAATTGATTTGTTGTCATATATATTTGGATCTATTTGGACCTATTTGTAGCAGAGAGCAGAAATTGGCAAAACTATAAACTGATATTTTTTGATATTTTTGCCAATGTATTTATCTGCTGATATAAAACAACAAAAAAATTAGTTTCCTTAAAATTTTCTAAACGGTAAAGTATTGTTAAAGTAAGAAGTTTTGTTTTTTAAAGATTAAATTGCAGACCTTGTTGTACTAACCCACGGAGATCTATCGAGCAGACAACAGGAAAGAAATTTCAAATACTAGTATATAGGTGATGCTGTGGGTTGGTAATGGTAGTGTGAGAGGGTAGGGTATTGTTTAAGAGCAAGAATTGATTGGATGTGGGCTAACCTCTTCAATGAAAACAGATGGGTCACTTCAGGGAGGTGGATTTACAGTTACGGCATACATTAAGAATTGACCCATTTGTAAGTGACAAGTAACAGTTTAGCACAAGAATATATTTTGATCTTATTTAAGGTAGGACAATTCAAGCTGCATAGGGAAGGTGTCGTTCATCCCAGGTGACATTAGGCTGAGGCCTATTCAGAATATTGTTGAAATGTAAAAGTAACTCTTTGTTATTGAGTTTCTTCTGTGCTGAACTTTTTAATAAAAGATTGGAAGACTCAATGATCTGTGTGCAATTTGGCCACGTTTCACTAAAACAAAATCCAATCTCTCATTGAGATATCCCTTAGTGCTACCAGTCTTGTGGTAGGTCTACTTACAGGTCATTGTAGATTCGACTACCATGCTAAAGTAGTGAATTTTCCCCTTTAATTACACCTATCGCAGGTATGGGGAAGGCGGTTAAAGTGCCTCTCATCTCCTTTGTCTTTGCCCAGCTCATGCAAGGCAGTAACGCAATAGTAGGGGCCTACTTCTTTAAGAATTGCATTTTAAGCTTTGTCAAGGTTCCAGGTGGTTTTAAACCGCGAATTTTTTCATTATACGGTAGCACAATGGGCCAATAGACCTATGTGGATTCCCTTTGGATCACCGGTAGCCAACTTTTTGGGTGATTGATAACTTTTTTGGTAAATATATCGACTAAAGAGAGACTGTGTTATAGAAAATACTATTACTTCAAAATATATATTAGTATATACTTATATGAAAATTTTTTTAATAAAATTTCAATATAGTATTTATTATTACTACTTTTTGTTTAGCTTTAGGGTAATAAACATAAGCACCTTGCATGGTTTTATTTCATTCCATATTATATATGAAGAATCTGTGTGGAAAAATCCTATATGGATAAGTCTGTTGCTCCTCAATTACGATATACGATCATAATATTATAATAGACGCTTTTCTGTGTGTCTACATTTTTGAATATAGTCTTTATTTTTAGCTAGAAACATAATAACACTGAATTTTGTATGGATTCGGGATACTTAGGATATCTATCTAGAAATTTAGTTAAAAAAATTAAAATCCACTAATTAAATTTTCTGAATCAAAATTTCATATATGATATATACATACCAACAGTATTTTTTAAATATATTAATTTTTTATTATTTTAGTTCAAAAACAAAAGTATTAAATGTATTTAATTCTCAAGACTAATCTTACAGGTTAACTTATGTGCATAAACCTATATAACTTACAAAATATTTATATATTATATTAATAATAAGTATTTAACAGAACGCATGGCTATGTTAATAATATATAAAATTAATTTCTGGGTTAAAAAATTGAGGTATATTCCTTTAACTAAATTTCTAGATAGTATTATAATACAAGTGATTATCAAGTTTCAGGAAATACTCTTATTACCATAGATCATAATATAATTGATTATTTTCTGGGTCACAGATATTATTAAAAGATTGTATGCAGATTAGAATATGTTTTCGATATTTCTATTATAGTAATAGTATATATAAATATACTATATTGATAGTATATATGATATTAAACCAAATAAATGTATATAGTATATATGTAGGATATATATAGGATATATATAGTATATGTTTAGTATTTATATAGTATTTGTACTATATAGATAGTATATATTTTATTAAGTTAAATAAATTTTTGTTGAACTTTTGCGAAAGTTATTATAGTTTATATAGTTTATTACAGAAATAGTATATATATTATATAGTATATGTAAATATAATATATAGATAGTATATATTCTATTAAGCTAAATAAGTTTTTGTTAAGCTTTTGTAAAAAGTGAACCCGTTAAGGATATTTTTGGTCTAAATTTGCATATGTTGAATAGAAAGTACTAAAAAAATAAACATAGTTCCTTACTTCTAGGATATGCGCATGAATGTTGAGTGAACATTCGATTGATGAGAGGACAAACGTTTCATTGTGTTTGTTTATTTTGAATGTATGTATATGGAAAGGCTCTTATATGGTGGGCTAAGTGTGAGTGGGGTAAATTTGCGAATTTGGGTGAAGGCGAAAAAAAGTGAATGCTTTGCTACTTTACTGCTGTTTTGACAATTGTGTACTAAAAGTTCGTGCTGTCCTCGTCCTCGTCGTGGTGTACTTTCAACAGAAAATAGGTAAAATAAAAATCCAACAACATTGTACAGACAAAAGTGAAAAAATTTTGTCAACATTTTATATAGTCTTCACGTTTAGAAATAAGTTGCTTTTGCTTTTAAATAAACAATACTATTGTAAAATAAATACTGAAAAATCTATTTTAAAGTAACGGTTAAGTTAGTATTGTAACGGTAAACGGGTACATTTTTAATAAATAAACGGATGAAATTCTATTAGAAAATATAAAATAAGAACGGGTGACGAGGACGACGGCAGCGAAGTGCAAAGAATTTTCTTGGATGAACGTTCGGTTATTTCGTTGCTGTGAATTGATGTGGTGAAAATGTATTCAAACAAAAATTTATTTGGTATATAAAATTGTTAAAATTGTGTATTTTCTTATGAAAAAATTCTATACTTTAATTCGAAAGCCCCAAAGTTGTTTAATAATTTTTTCACATAAAGCTGGCTTTTTGTTTTGTTGTTAGAAGGATCTCTAGTTGGAACGGAAGTTATGTTCGTGATGTTGTCCCACCCAATTTTTGGGGGAGGCCCATAAGTAAATATGTGTATTGATTAGAATTATATGGATATATTTTGGAGGAATTTCCTAATAACAATTATGAATAAAATATAAATAAAAGGGTATGTGAAAAGGAATGAATATGCAAAAATATTTTCTGCCATATTACAATATATCTTGGGATATATAAAGAAGTGAATGAAAAATCGAAAAGAGAAAATGAAAGATGGAATACAGTGAAGAAAAGTGTACAAGGCCAATAAATCGTGACTGCACATTAAATGCGTGTGAAGTTGACACAAAAGGATTTAAATAATCTCATTTAAATAGTTAATAGTTAAGATAAAAAGCTGAAGAACTCACAGCCATGTGTGCTATATCAATATTATAAATGTTAAGGTTCAGTGTTACAGTGTCACTTCAATTACAAAATTACAAACGAAAAGTTTCGAAAGCAAAGTATTATTTCAGTGCAAAAGTATTGGATTGCAAAATTAGTGTGTGAGAACTGTTGCCATCCTCTGCTTAAGATAAATCGATTCTATGTTTCAAATATGAGTGCTGCAAATATTGAAGTTAGAAAAAACTCTCCAATTAACAATATTTAATCCTTCAAAAACTAAAGCCTCTGACTGCATTTTGATTTAAACTCTAAATCAGGTGGCAACTAAACAAAAATAAAAATAAATCATTGAGCAACTTAAGCTCGTGCATTTGTTTGTGTTTGAAAGTAGTGTGTGTGCGTGTGTGTGTGTGCTTCTGTTACCATAAGAAAATGTACATAAATACTTTGGTAGGGTAGCGGGAAAGCCTCTTAAACCATTTTATATATATTGACTGCCCTCCACCCACAAATGCGCTGGCAACAGCTAAACACGCACATTTTTTAATTCAGGTTCTGCGGTTCTCGGTTTTCACTTAATAATGCACGCGGAGCACATTTCCACTGCCTTCAGACCGTAACGCTATTTTAGAAATTCTAGAGAAAATCAAAATCTACACACACCTCTGAGATATCGCATAAAGTTTAAATATTTTTTTTATTTACAATAGAGTTGAAAGTGTGTGACACATATGTGTGGATATGTGGATATATACACACACTAATATGTCACAACAATGTCACACAAGATACATCCAGATATCAAAATATAAACATTATTTAAACCAAATAATCTTAAGATTCTAATTAGAAAGGCTGTTAGTAGTATATTATTTTTTATAAAATAAAATAAATTAAAATAAAATATTATAAAAATAAAAAATAATGTATTGCACAATAAAGGCTCTTGGTAAAATATACTATTATTTTTAAAAGAAAATAAAGCAAAATTTTTTAAAAAAAAAATTATTATACTATGAAAAATATTATTATTATTATTTTTATTATGAATTATTAAGGCTGCTGGTAGCATATATTATTTTTCAAAAATAAAATAAAGAAAAAGAAAATTTTTTGTTTTAAAAAATAATATTAAAAATATTATTATTATCAATAATAAAGGTTGTTGGTAGTATATATTATTCTTTACAAAATAAAATAAATAAATTTAACAACTCTTTTTATAAAAAATAATGTATTACACTATAAAGGCTCTTGGCAGATAAATTATTATTTATAAAATAAAATTTTTTTATATAAAATAATATATTGCACTATGAAAAATATTATCATTATTATTATTATTATTATTATTATGAATTATGAAGGCTGTTGGTAGAATTTTATTTTTTTTTTAAAAAAATAGTTCAAATAAATTAAACAATTTTTTTTATAAAAAATGATATATTATAATATAAAATATATTATTATTAATTATAAATGTTGTTAGCAATATATATTATTTTCTATAAAATAAATTAAATAAAAATAAAGCATTTTCTCTATAAAAAATAATATGTTGCACTATAAATGGCTCTTGGTAGAATAAATTATTTATAAAATAAAATAAAACACAATTTTTTTATTAAAAATAATATACTATACTACGAAATATACTATTATTAATTAGAAACGCTTTTGGTATATATTATTTTTTTATTAAAAATAATATATTGCATTATGAAATATATTATCATTATCAATTATAAAGCTTATTGGTAGAATATACTTATTATTTTCCGAAAATAAAATAAAGAAAAAAAGTTTTTTTTTTATAAAAAATAATGTATTACACTATCAAATATATTATTATTTATAAAATAAAATTAAAGAACATTTTTTTTATTTTAATAAATAAAACAATATAATAATATTATTTATATTTGTCCACTTTACAAATATATGTATTATTTTATTAATAAAAGGCCTTGTAGTATATATTTTTATAAAAGAAATAACATAAAAAATAAACTTATTTTCAATAAATTAAATTGTACGAATTAGTATAGGTGTATAACATACTGAAGCGGAATTCTATTAATTCTTATTAAACATAAATAACACAAAAACTAACTTTTTCTTTATTAAAAATAACCTGTTGCCATGAACAAATGAGATTATGTTATAATATATTAATTACCATAAAAAGGCCTTTTGTGTAGTGTAAATAATTATTATATATATATTATTATTATTATATATATATATATATATATATATATAATATAATAATTTATAATTTTTGTTAAAATAAAATAAACAAAAGTAAATTTTTTTTATTAATAATAATATATTGCACTATGAAACATATTATTATTACCAATTATAAAGGCTGTTGGTAGTGTATATTATTTTTGATATATATTATGATATATATTATATATAGTGTATGTATATTATTATTTATTAAATTAGTTGGTAGTATAAATATTTTTTTTCATAAAGTAAAATAAATAACTATTTCTTTAAAAAAAAAATAATGTTTCCACTATGAAATTGTGTTGGTGGAATATATAATTTTTTTTTTAAATAAAATAAATAGAAGTAAAAATTTTTTACAAAAAATAATATGTTACACTATAAAACTCATTATTATTATAAATTATAAATTAATAAAAAAGTACGCATTAAAGAGTGTGATTGTGCTTTTATAGGTGAATAGAATTTCTGCTATTAGTTTTTACCGAACTTTTTTATAGGAATAGAAAATTTTGTCCTTTCAAGAATAATTTATATATTTTAATTCGCCTTCCTCTATTCTTTTTCAAGTAATGACCAGGGATTCAATTCAATTATTTATTAGGCAAAACAGTCGCCTAATTTTTATTTCGTATTTTGTTAACGTTGAGAAATTATTTTTTTTACAATAAATCCTTTTAAACGGATTTATATATTAATTATATATTAATCAAAATACTATTAACATGTTAAATATTGAAACAGTGTACTAATATTAATGAAGGGGTTACGCATGGACTATATGCATTTCGCATCTACCCACACTTGATTGAAATGTTGAATAACATTGAAATGATTAATCCAGCAATTAATTCCATTTACTAGACAAAAAACTTAATATATTTTTTTTTAGTTCTTAATTAAAATTTTATTTTTTTCTATTGTTGCCCTTTATGGTATGCACATTTAAACGAATTAAAAAAAAAAGATTTATTTTTCATCTGGTCAAATATTTTGTAAATATTTTTTATTTTATTAACATTTATTAGTGTTAAGTTCATCCACAGTGTTTTTTTTATCCTAATTTAGAAACATATGGCTTGTTAGAGAACTTGGAAACTTGTCGTATTTGGAGTGACATATTTCGACTTTTAAATAAGTTTTGGGATAGTATACTCGTTGTAGGATTGATCTACACTATTTAAAATATGTAAAGTACTTATATTTGTAAGACTTTTGTAATGTTTTGAAGGACTAACTGAAACATTAAATCGTTTACATTTTGTTGATAGTAGACTTCTTGGAATCTCGTCAGCACTATTGAAAATTCTTCACTATCATAAATCAATCTTTTATTTTTCTAATATAAAAATTCAAATGTAGAGTTATTTCAGATCAGATGTTTATCGGCAAGTAAAACTTAAGACCCGGTGTGGTTTCTAGGCTGTGATATGAAAAATCCTTCAGAAAAAGGAATATGCAATTTACGATAATTATAAGTATAGTATATAAGGTTTATATATCTTATACATATGTATGTATAAGGTTCGTAAGCGCACTAGTATATAAAGATTAATGAGCCCCTAACTGATTGTCTACTATCCAAGTGCAACATTAGTTCAGATTAGAGTAAGAATCTTAGCAATTGATATCCATCCCATTACGATATTGTTAAAAATTATATTTAAATTCATAGTAGCTCTAGTAGCATAACATTTTTCCAATAAATATATTATTTGCTTTAAGATAAGCTTAAACTTCGTTAATAAACAAAAAATTTAGCCTAAAATGTACTCCAATGAACAGAAAGCATTCCAACACCAAATTTTATCACATGGCTAGAAGTATAGCATGTAGTTCCATACATTCTTAAAACGTATGACCACCTAACAGGTAATTATCATTAGATGGTATCTAATTTAAGAAGTTATTCTGTAGGAATTTCAAAAGGCGAAATAATATTTTTAATTATTGTATATTATCTTTTATATCAATTATATTATGTTTTGATATAAAAACAATATGTTGAAAAAAATTCAAAATAGGTTCTTGTGGTTATTTAACTGTCTTACATCCTAAATTTCAAGGATCATTATCATATGTTCACAGACAGTTTTGTGCACCAAAGCTCACTCAAACACAAATAATGCCTATTACAAATGATCCACTGCTATATCTTAAGACACATAATAAATATAATAAATAAGAACAAAACTTGAATGCGGGAATAAGATTCCCGAAACTTCTCGTAGCCAGTGATGAGCACTGACACTGACTGCGTAATTATTGAAAGAAGAATGCTGAACACACCGCTAGACAATCTTTGTTATCGCAGGTGGCCTTCCAATATCTGACTAATTTACCCTATTATTATTATTAATTTACACTATTACGGAGTTATATATACAAATATAAGTTGAAAGTGGCACTTGAAAATAGTAAAAATTGCAGCTTTAGAACACAGGAAATACTACTTCTTCTTAGTGTCCGTTTCCCTTAGTGGGGCATAGGGCCCAGCTTTGTTCACATTCAATTATAATGATATGTACTTAAACATACAATATATTTTAAATAAAAATTATTATAAGTATAAATTCTTAAAATAAAATTAATGATATAGAATTATAAATGGGCTAATAGGATTAACTTCAATTCATATTAAATTATATATTGAAATAATTCTAAAATTAGGTTATAATAATAAAGATATATACATTTTTTTCATAGATAATTCAAATGTGTTCTTGAAACTGCCAAAATGAAGCGAAAAAGAACATTGTGCCTATTAAAGAGCAAATAAATCATATAAACAATTAAATATGATTTAACAATAAACATAAAACTTAAATACACTGAAAACCAATTTTAATACATTCGGTCATGTATCAGGAACACAATGAGGCAATAAACAAGGATAGATAAAATAATTAAAAAGGAAAAGTGAAAGACTTTGATGAAAGAGAGCATTGGTGATATGCGTCTGACTTACCAGTGAGAGAGCAGTGGTAAAACACCGGTTTCATATAAGAAAAAAGGACAGGACGGACGGTAATATATCTTGATTGAGTCAATAGACCTTCTTGGACACCGTAAAAGATGGTGAACAAAAAATAATTTTAAATGAAGAGAGTGGTAAATAGGAAATGGATCCAAATAAATTTTATTGTCGCAATGCAGCGCAGTCAACAGCATCAACATCATCGATTTCTTCAGCGACATCGTCGTCAATTGGTTGCGGCGGTAATTCTAACCAGGAATATATCGGTGCTTGCGGCTCTAGTCATTCGTCTTCTGGTTTTAGTTGTAAAGAATTGCTTGCAAGAAATGCCAACAGTAAATCCCTGCTTAATCAGAGAGGGACCAATGCTGCAACTGGTTTTGGTGGTAGCGCGAGCAGTACGAGTGGGTACTGCAGCAGTAATTCAAGTGGGACCGGAAATTATATTAACGTAATGCCTGTGCCAGTGGGCACATTGCAGTATCAGCGAAGGAAGTTGACACCACAGGAATATCAGTAAGTGAAATATTATTCTAATTTAGTATTTGAAATATTAAATACCATTTGATTCCCATGTAGTGCTTTTATTATTTACGAGTATATATTTTTAAGTAATTATTCCTATACATTTTTGTGTGCATTATAATCATACTCGTATTCAGTTATTACAATTTATAATTATAATTTATCCGGCTAGCAAGACTCTATCACTAAAGTAAAGTA